CTTGGTCTTCACTTGTATCTTGCAGTTTGTAAAGTGCTTTCCCCGACAGTTTTACTTTTCAAACAGCACTGTGCAATGGGCAAGAAAGGTGCTGTTAGCTTCATTTTCATAGAAGGAAGCTGAAGTTAGAGGCCCGGGTGGTCAGCCAGGATCACTAAGCTCGGGTGCCTACACACCCTGACCAGCCTCCTTGACCTGCATGATCCAGGTGAGCATGCCTTGTGCTCTGTCCTGGCCTCACACTGATGGTGGCGGCTGCCAGATATGTGCCCAGGGGGGTCTTGTTCCCACTGCGTAAGGTGGTCAGTTAGGCAGCTGTGGGGGATGATTTCCAAGGTCTGTGACTCTCAGGGGACATTGACTTGTAGAAAGCTACTCTCAGGATCGAAGACTTCTGTTTGATGGAATTTTTCAGATTAACCTCCTAACTTCGTTCAGGTTAGCAAAGGGACACCCTCCCCTCAACTTCAAAAATCTCTCAACTCACAGAATGACGAAGGTCTCCGTCCCGTTGTGCAAAGCTGAAGCCTTGCGTGTGATGTGATTGCCTATAAATGAGATGAATCTGGGAGCCCTTTTCTCACCAGGACACAGAGCAATGAGTGATTAGAATCCTGTAAGAGGCCACATACTGGGGTGTCCATGTCCGTGCGCTGTGCGCCTTGTCTGATGCCGCTGACAGGGAGGTGAGGGGTAACGGATTTCTCTCCTAACTTCTCAAGCCTTCCCAGTAGTATCTTGAAAACCCTTTGTTGTGGCTTTTCAGACCCAGTGCAACATTTCGGGAAACCACTCCCGGTTCTGACGTTTACTTATACTTCCCTCCTCCCTGCCTCTGCTCCGGGCGCTGCAGCCGTGCCCTGGGCCCTTTTACGATGGACGCCCGCAGCCCGAGCTGCTCCGTCACGCAGGCCCTGGTGAAACCAGCCTAACGCTTCCAAAAGAAGGAGGAGTCCGGGTGGACTTCCTGTGCTCCTGTCACATTGTCACTCTTGAGACTATTGGTCTCTGAGGCTCAGCTACTTGCCAGTCTTTTCATTTTCCCCTCAAACCACAGAGGTGGTATTTTCTAGTATTTAGCTGTATTCAGAGCCCTTTCACTGATCTCTAATTCTAGAAGGGGACCAGGTAGGTATTATCTCCATCTTGTGGAAAAGGAAACTGAGACGTTGTATGATTAGCTAGTTGCCAGGCAGGGACCATAACTCGGGTCTCCTTGTTTTTGAGTTGAGTCTGACTCACGGAAGGGCCAGTCCCACGCTGACGGGACAGAACCACCACCAGGACTTCCCTGCTGGCCCTCCGTCTCCCTCCCTGGGCTCCCGCCTGCCTTCATTAGCGAAGACAGTGTTGATTCTTAGATTCAAGCTAGGTAAATGAGCCTAAGCGATGACGCTTTTTAAATTCATGGATCGAGCTAGATAAATGATCCACAAAAGCCCTTCTGGGGGAAAAGAGGAGTGAATTTGAAAGAGGAAGACGGGAGATGAGGAAATGAACCAGCTCCAGTAAGATCAGGTATAAGGAGGACCTGACGTTGGTCGGTCCCTTCCCTCGTTCATTCAGCAAATGTTTATTAGCTTCTTCTGTGGATGAGGAAGCGTGTTAGGGGCCATGAGGGACACGTCGTTTAGGGGCTCAGCTCTCAGAAACCTGGAAGTCTGGTAGAGGAGAAAGAGCATAAACAGCGACGCAAGTCTGAAGGGCACTGCAAGCCCCAGTTGGTAAATAAAATGAGTGGGAGGCTAGAGCAGGGGATCACTTCCAGGGCAGGAAATGGGAGTGGTCTGTAAAGTCAGTGACGGCTGAGTTGACGGTGGTGTGATGGCTGACACTTACCAAGAGGTCCTTGTGTACATCATACCTATTGACTCACTTAATCCTTACAGCCGTGAGATTTTGACAGATGAGGACATTAAGCACAGAGAGGTAAAGCAACTTGCCTGGTGTCACTCAGCCAGTAAGTGGCAGAGTCTAAGCCTGGTGAGGTTTAGGTGTGCAGACACGGGCAAGGGAATGCCAGGTGGGGGAACCAGCACGAGCAGTGTGGCTCTGGGGCTGGTGCCCGGAGTGTCCCATCCCCTGCGGCATCAGCCCAGCTTCCTCAGTGAGCCTCGCTGGGCCCTTTGGAGAGCCGGGTGCCGCAGTGCTGGAGGGCTGGGGTGGAGATACTCAGGCGTGGTCCCCCAAGGGTGGCAGTGTGCTCAGGGAGGTCAACACTTTCGTCCTCACTCTGTTGTCAAGACATATTGTGAGTTTCTGCTGAAAGGTAGCAGCAGATTCTCAACAACTTCTCCAGTTCTTTATGGCATGAACTGTGATAAGCTTTAATCTAAAAGGATATTTGAAGCAGTAAAACGGAAGTTTTTTTTTTTAACACTAACGACGATAGTAGTGAGATGTGGAAAGTACTATAAATGTCAAGAATTTTTAGTACCACAGTTAAGCGACACTCTGAGAAGAGTGTTGAAAAATGGGACTGAATTCTAAAAAGCAGCCAAAATAATGAAGAGCTTGAATATAATGATTTATAAGGAGTAATGAGTCTGTTTGAGTCGGGGGCAGAAGAAGGCATAAATAATTCCTGTCAATGTGAAGGCCGGAGAGCTTCAGGAATTAAATAGTTGGGAAAGTTGAACCATTTTAATTGGTAAAACTGATTTGATATGAAAATGCAAATCACTTGGGTATGTTGAAGTTTGGTTCATATCATCTTAGACCTACATTTTTGAAACTGAAATGGAAACTCCTGGAAACCTTCCTTGAATGGAAGGTCCAAGCCACTTGCTGCCACGAGCTGCCCACGGTGGTGGGAAGTTCCCAGTCTGGTCTTATCAGCACCCAGCTTCCTCTCCATTATTTCCAGCCTTTAAAAGCCTTCTTCCATTCTATTCTCCACAAAGGCTGGAAGTCCTGGCCAGAAGGGGCTGGCGGTCAGCAGGGAGCCCAGGAGGCTGGAGCCTGGGCTGCGGACGGCAGGGTGTGGTGTGTATAACCCAGGTGGCCTCCTGCAGCTCTGCCGGGTGGTCAGGGCTCAGCTGGCAAAGGGCGGACGGTCACCCCGACCCTGGGAGGCCGGGAGAACAGGTGGAGCCCCTGGACACCCCTAAATAACCGTCGCAGTGACCTGTGTCCTCACTTGGTTGACGCGGCCGCAGGACGTGACTTTTTCCTTCTCCCCCCTCGCCAGGCCCTGGGCGGGGAGGGTTCTTGATAAACCTATATTCTTGCCACAGCTTCTACATGAAGGCCCTCCTACAGGATTTGGGATCAAACTCTCATGTCACATGCCCAGTGCTGGAGCTGATCTGGGCAGATCCGTGTGTCTCAGAGTGGTGTGAGGGGGTGACTGGGGGCCGTGTCTTGAGACCCCAGTCAGAGCGGGAGCTGAACTCGCACGAGACACTCCACTCCACACCCCCCAACACACACACTTCATTTAAGGGGTGGGCGGAAAGGGCTCTGGAGGATCACCATGGCTGTCTTCCTTCTAGTTTCAGATCCCGTTCAGGACGCCTCCAGGACAGGGAGCGGCCGGAGTTTTCTGGATGGCCCCCCACGAGTGCTTCAGCCCTTCCTGACAAACAGAGCCAAGGTGGCCGGGGTGCCCCCCAGCCTGCCCCCGCCCGTGCGGGACACCATGCTGGCGGCCGCCCTCTTCCCCGAGTTCCTGAAGGAGCTGGCTGCCTTGGCCCAGGAACACTCCATTCTCTGCTGCAAGATCCTGGGCGACTCGGATGACAGCTACTGTTAGCTTTTTCTTTTCAAATAGAGTTTCTTGTTTTTTTAAGGTTTTAGTGCCGTGACTGAACGTTAAATGCAAAGCTGCTTACAGACACCTCTACTTTGAGACTTCCTGACGATACTTGATACGTGGGGAGGGGGGTTTTCTGGGTGCCTCCTCTCCCCAGCCGGATCTTCCCACCTTGTAGGCCCTAGAATCTAAGTCTTGGCTCAGTTTTTCCTCCTCAGAGTTCTTGGTCCTTATTCTCCCATCCCTCGGAGTCACTCAGCTTGCAGCTTAGATCACACCCAGCGAACACCGGGAGGCAGTGATTTCTGGAGGTGTCCACCTCAGAAGGCCCTTCAACAGCACGTAAGAACGCACACCTGCCCCTGTGGCCTTCTGCGTCGTGGCTTCCGTCTTCTTATTAGGAGAAGAATAAAGATGGAGCCCTTCTTGCCTCCGTCACACAAGCACACAGCATCCGTCCCTTTGTATTTTACTTCCAAGACTTGTATTCCGCCCGACACGTGTTGCCTTACAGCGCAGGCAAATCCACTGGTCTCAGCTCTCTGCCTGGGAAGTCAGATGTAGTTGGAGAGAATTTGGAATGCAGGGAAACGTTCTTGTTGCTCGAGAGCTTTCTTTGCTCAGTATATCACTACCTAAACACTGAAAATAGCCTTATTTTAGTAAGATTTGCACAAGATGAACTATGCCTATGCAAAATGTTACTCTGGCTTTTAGGACTTTGATTGGTGTGAACAAAGCGTGGTATATGCTTATGTAAGAAAGAAGACAGCCATCATTATTTTTTTAAGTGTTTTATGAAAAACAAACTGGTTCGTCTGTGACACTGTCTCATAGTGGGTTTTTTTGGAGCGGTATGGTGTGGGGGAAAGGATAAAAGTAAACTAAATACAATCTGTACAAACCTTGGTAATTATTATTTTAAAATCTGTTTGCTTTTTCTAATATGTTGCACTTTGTGGAGAAACAGGAACTGTACAGCCACTTAGGGAACCAGGATGTAAAGGCAAACAGGTCGCAGGGAGCCCCGCCAAGCCAAGTGCCTGCTGGGGCCTCACTCCACACGGAAACGCTACCTTCTGAGTAATGGGGTTCATCACGAGGCCCCACCGTGATGTATTAGTGCTTCTCTGCTCTGCAGCCTGCTCTGCCAGGTGTAATTATACTTAGAGCCATGGTCTTCCTACCACAGACAGAGAGGCAAACACAAAATAATTGTGGGCTAAAAAAGAACGAGACAATAAACGACTGATATGCATGGATATTAGATTCCACTCTCCTGTACTGTGGGCAGGTGAGAAGCACGTAAGCAGGGTGACCCCCCCCCCCACCCGGTTGGGAAGGAAATTGGAAGCCCCGGGTCTCTGTTCTTTCTGTGGGCATCTTGCTGAGCCCCGGGGGTGGTCACAGGGCTGGTGGTGGTGCCTCAGGAGCACTGGTTTGGTTTTAATCAATCAGGCCCTAGTACAGGAAGGGCGTGGAGGAGAGACGCACATCTGAGACGCTGCAGAGCCGAGGCTGCCTTTTGTGTTTCAGGGATTTTGAAGCGAGTGAGCCAGTCCTGGAATGAAGCCTCAGGAGCTCTGGCCGGGGCTGGATGGCTCTCAGGAGTCCTGCTTCGCGGTGCTTGCAAGTCTAGGCAAGGAACCAAAGATAGTGATTCGTTGTACATTTCTGACTTCAAACTTGTCTGTCTTGAAAGATGGTTTGCCCGGCTGCGGTGCAGCAGCCAGAATGTGCGAGGCCCAGCGGACTGGCCTGCTCTTGGCTTCCCGACATCCACTTGCACTTGCGTAAGTGTCTCTACTGGAAAAGTCAGTGGCTCAGAGATGGAGAGAGAGGAACAGAAGATGAGTTTCAGCTGTAATGTATTATCCTCCAACTTTGCTTTGCACAAGTATGTATCTTCCAGTTTGGACTCACCAGGTATATAGGAAGCTAAAGTCACGTCTGAGAGCCGTATTCTTCAGCTTTCTGGTCCGATTTCCACATCTCTCCATTATCTGGTGATGGTGTCGATTCTTCTCCTTGAGTCCATGTTGCTCTATTATAGAAAACCACAGTCCCCTTTGTGGAAGGCATCATCTGGGAAAGAGTATTTTTTTAAGTAGGTACTTATAAAAAAAGTAGATTTGCTTTAAAGGAGGACAGAGATGACCGGTGTGGGGTGAGAGGCAGGAAAATTAACTAACTCACTCCCATGGTGGGGTGCTGGTAGCAAACCCACATGACAACCCAGCCTATTTGGAGGTGGACGCTGGTTCAGGTTTCTGAAACCCCTGCAGCCCTCCACCAGAGTACTGAGTCCAGCGTTTCTCAAAATGAAGTCAGAAAATGGGCCTGGAAATATATTCTAGGGAACTGGTAGACCCATGCAGTTGAGGGGAACAGCCAGGTGGGTTAGGTTAAGGATGGTTTGGGGGTGGTGTGGACATGCGAGAGGGAACACAGCAGAGACCGGAAGCTAAAATAGGAGAAGAACAAATCCTGGGGGGTTTGGAGGAATGAACATTGATCTAGGCAGATAGGAAGATACTGAACAGCAGGGGGTGGCGATGGGAATTCCTTGATGGGAAATATCTCGGTAATGAAGTAGAATGTTCTAGTCATAAAGTAATAGGTGACACCCTTAGAAATCTCTTTTGCGATGAGTTTGGGGAAGGATTTTGAACGATACTTGGCATGCTTTAAAATGTGCCAGTGCGTGGATGCCTTTGCACGCGACAGGCCCCCAGGACTCAGTGGACACGGGCTTTGGTGCAGCCCCTGAGGTTGCCGTCGCTGTGTCGAGCCTGGTGGCCCCGGGCAGCGGAGGTGAGTCACGGGTTCCTGGAGCATCACATCCTTCACCTTGATTCATAACTCAGAGTCTGACGTAAAGTTCTAGGTGGAGTGGATTTTGTGCTTCAAAATATAGGAGAGCACTGGGATACTTAAAACTGATTTTTGGAAGTGGCCAAATGTTTAAAAACGTTTGTTTTTAAAATTTTAAAGCGATTCCAGATCGAGTTTAGCCTAAAATACAGTTTTATGGAGTGAATTACAGATTCCCAGACATGAAATGGGAATGCTGGAGTAACCAATCAGAGATGTGGTTTTATTAGTAGGTACACTTCCTTTCCTTCCCCGGTATTTAGAGGAATTGTGAAATGGTCCCCATTTGACTTAGTAAAATACTTTGACGAGCTGGGGTTGGAATCGATGCCTCTGTCACGTGTAGGGAGGACGCATTCACTTCTTCCGCGGGTCCTCAGGGGTACCTTTTCCTCATCAAGTGGCTTTTACTTAGGTCTGATGCAGTTGTTGATTTTCAGTCCATTAAGACATCCTGGCTCCAGGGTGTTGTCAGGAGAGCATCCTCTTATGAGCAGAATCTAGAGACAGGATACGTGACCGTTCAGGTTACCTGTTCATTTTGGGCAGCCCATGGTACTCGGGGTTGAAAGTCGTTTTTGATGTCTCAGAATCAGCCTGGTTGCCAGGGTCAGTGTGGGTGGGTTTCCAGCTGTGTTCAGAGGTTTGGGGTTGTGGGTAGGCTGCCCGTTCTGAACGTGGGTCAGTGTGCCTGGGCTGCTCTCCTTGGGAAGTGCGGCCCCGGCGGGGGTGGGACGTGTCACCGGTGTGACGGTGAATGTCTGCAGTGCACACCCAGCTCTCAGGCAGGGATGGGTCAATGTAATTGCTAACTACCAGCCATGTATTTACTGAAATGGCTGGCACCCTTGGCCATTTTTATGAAACACTTTATTGCGGGACAGCTATTACTGCATGTGCTACTTTAAGTCACTGGCCAGGCCGGGGTAATTTGTGGCTCACCTTGCGTCCCAACAAGCCTTGCGGTATTAGCTCTTCCTGAACAGCAGCCCTCTGTAGCTGAGGCCACAATGCTTTAAGTCGTTAAGAAGATATTCTCGGCCCCTTCTCGCTTCAGCCATCAGACTGTAAATCACGTAACACTCGTTCTCCATCAGATAACAGCTTAAGACAGAACACTGTCAAACCAGTTTATACTCCATTTCTTAAATCACATCACAGAGGAAACATTTTAAGAAAATGGAGTTGACTTTTTTTTTCCTTTTTGAATGATCGTCATAAACCTAACGCTTTAGAAAGAGCTCTCAAAAGACTAAGAATTGTTTTCGGGATAATTTTGCCTCAGTAAATCCTCTCTATGTTCAGGCGTTTATTAGGCCATTACTTGTTTTGGAGGACAGATCATCCTGGCAGCTCATTAACTGGATAAACGGGGGCTTCAGTGAAAGATATTCGTTGAGGCTTTGTAGGGACCAGAGGGACAGGGGCAAAGTTCTTTGGCCTCTGCACTTGGAATCCTAAGACAGGGGCCGATTTTAGCTGGGAATGCCCCTCCCTGTCCTGTCATCATTGTGAATTTTGTTCCTGTCACCCACACAAGGAACAAGGTCGCCAGGAGGGTCTGCCCGCATGCGTTCCATACATATTTCAGGCATCTTTGGGGAGCCTTAGATTTACTGTGTGCTTTCTGAACCTGACAAGGTATGCATTTCATGGAGCTGAGGCTGCAGAAGTCTGTGCTTCTTAGGGCAGCAGCTGACTTTTTACTGGGACAAGTCTAGAAAAGGCCCACCTATAACGAGGTACCATTTTGCCCTGCAGATATTTTAAAAGAGATTATTTGGTGTTGACAATATTACTTAAATGATTTTTGCTAAGACGTCTGACGAAGGGAGACAACAAGAGAGGATTTCAATTAGCGCTTTCCATCTCACCATCGAGGGTCCGCTCTGTTCACAAATAATCCACGAATGCAATTTGTCTAAAATCTGAAGAGGCGTGGCAGCCATTTCCATGCTGCTTTTGGTGGTGGGTAAAATAACATGGCCTTTCATATAGATCTAGTGTTTTTTTTCAAATAGTCCTATGTGGAATCCTTGAAATGATGTGGCTAAATTCAATAGACATGAAAAATACAATATGGATTGTGGGTCCTGGCCGTAAGCTATATATCGAACTAACCAACCAACGCAAAGCTCTAGGAGAGTGTTTACTTGAAAACAATTCATAGCCTTCTTCCAGATTAGCCATAATTACCAAAAAGAAGGGAGGGAGGGAGCTCAGCTAAAAACACCCTTAACTTGGTATAAATACTGACAAGTTTTTTTCCCTGGGTTGTCTACATCTTAGAAGATGGGAACAGAAGTTCACCTTGATGCATAAGCCTGGACAGAGTCAAGAAGCTCCTTCCTAGACCCAGAGTTTAAAAGCCTAGTGGATGGCAGCACCCACCCCTCATACAGAGGGACTCCCACAATTAATTATGCTTTATAAACTTAATGAACTTTTGCTAAAAATGGATCCTGTGCCAGGTAGCATGCCGAGTGCTGCGGCTGCCACCCCTCCCCTCCCCCCAGAACCAGCCGATCAACCAACCTCCTCCTCAAGCCACAGGGCACCCGGGGGAGCCAGTCTTCCAGCACGTTGCCCTCCCAGCCTCCAGGTGTGCGGGCTCCAGTGACAGATGGCACTGGCTTCACCTGTGGTGCCAACTCATACATTTCAATGAGATTTCCCCCTGAATAGCAAACAGAGAACCAGACTAAATTCACAATCATGCAAAAATGTATTTAAAATTGTATTTCACTGAAGCCCAGTTACAAGTAGAGCCATACTTTGTGAATTTCTTAGGGCGTTAGATAAACATGTATTCTGAATATCTAGTCAGGTTCCAGGTAAGATATCTGAGCTGTGCTTTGATACGTTTTTTTCTTTCTATGAGCAGTTACAACAACACAATCTCATTTTTAGGATTTCAGAAGTGGGCCTTCAAGACAACAAGCAATTGTCAGAGCTGGATGACAGTTAGCATTGTAAAGGTCAAGTGCTTTTTTGTGTGTTGAGGTAACTGGTTTATAACATTATATTCTGACTTCTCCATACACTACAGTGTATTCACCATCAAAGGCTGAGTTCTGTCTGCCGCCACAGCTGACCCCCTTTACCCATTTAGCCCTCCCTCTACCCCCGACCCCAGCAATGGCATTTTTCTCCCGAAATGATCAGTCCATAAGACGGTTTACATATGACGTGATATTGTTGGTAAATGGCCTTCATCTGGCTGTCCCCGCCCCTCCCAGACCCCACTTAAGTAAGCCCTTGATTTAAAATGGTCTGGAAAGATCGTCCAGTGCTTTCTGTAAGGGTTGATGACCAAGAAGCCAGACCTCTGGTGAAAATGGAGTTTGTAAAACAAAACTGAATCTTATCATTTCTTACAAAATCATGATCCCGCCAGATTCCAGACTCAGGAGCCACGGGGTGGGGGGGTGGGAACTGGCTCTGCCTTTCTCTCTCGAAAAGAGGTTTGATGAAAATGTTTTACTGTCAGGCCCAGGAGTTTTCAGTACTGCAACGGCATGCGCGAGGGGCACGTGGCTTCCTGGGTGATGTAACGTACCGTATTCTCTTAACACTTCTAAGTCACTCATTTGTAAAAAAGTTAGTTTTTTAAAAAACCTTACCTCTTCATGCTTGTCTGAAATAAGCCGGATGACTGACTGGTCCCTGCTTTTCTGGCTGGGAAGAGGGGCAGTCCTCTCTTTACTCCTAGTTAGGGAAGTCCTGACCTCTCTTTACTCCTAGTTAGGGAAGTCCTGACCTCTCTTTACTCCTAGTTAGGCAAGTCCTGACCTCTCTTTACTCCTAGTTAGGCAAGTCCTGACCTCTCTTTACTCCTAGTTAGGGAAGTCCTGACCTCTCTTTACTCCTAGTTAGGGAAGTCCTGACCTCTCTTTACTCCTAGTTAGGCAAGTCCTGAGCGATCATCTGCGACCAGGAACCATGAGCTGCTAAGTTGGTGACTCTCCTCCGGGTCCCCAGCTACCACTGGAGCACCGTTCATGACGGAAATGTTTGTACTCTTCTTAGTACAAGAGAGAATTCAGTGTAAAATCAGGGCCTCCAATGATTTTCTTTTATGTCACAGTTTATTTGACATGTGCTTTTAAAAAACAGCACTTGCAAAACTGGTCTTCAGTGTTGTGAGTCAGAGGTAACAAAGGCGTGCAGTGAACAAAGGGGTGCCCCAGTGCGACAGAGAAATAGTATTATTGCCACGAGAACAGGGGTGAGGGCAACGCAGCCTCCATGGACTACTGTTAACTGTACCACAGTTACCATTAAAGGTAACTTTAAAACCATCAAGATTTTGATTTACTAGCTTACCATCTTATTCTTTCCAGGCAAAACAAATCAGTTTAATGTTACAGCTTTTTTCTCGCCTTTTAAAACTTTTCGGTCTGAGGGTGGCGAGGGGGGTTTGTCCACTGCACAATCTTCAACGTGTAAGTTAATTTTTTATGTGATGTTTCAGTATAAATTTTATTCATTAAATTTATTTGAAAACTTCTGTTGTCTTTTTTTACCAAAAAAATAAATAAATCATTTATTCTCAGACCTCTGCCTTCTGGGATCCCTGGGCATTGAATGGGCAACATCACTTTTACTCAGTGGATGGGAGAATACATTCCTGGTACTAAGACTAATGAGAGCGCCGCAAACAAAATACTGCATCCAGATCACGGCCTCTCTTCATCATTGCTAATCCCCAGCACCTGGAACAACGCCCGGCCCTTAGCACGTGCTTAAAAATATTTGTTGAGGGACCTGCGGAATGAAACGTTTTCCTAGGGTGGTGACAGTATCTGAAACAGCATGTGGCACTGAGCTCGGCGTCACCGCGCACTAGGACATGCTGTTTCTCACCGCTGCTGCACCTCCCCCGGAAGCGTGTGATGTCGATGAAGCAACGGCGCCAGGCCTGGTCTGCGTGGAGGTTGCACCTCAAGGTGCAGGTCGGGCGGGGCATCTGGCTGGGGCCTAGGACATCAGCGCACAGGCTCCAGCCCGGCCGTGGCAGGGGGACCCGAACCCGTCACGACGACAGCTGCCTCTCCAGCACCTCCTTTATCACCGTCGGATCTGCTCGGCCGAGAGTCGCTCTTCGGACCAACCCGATCAGTTTGTTTATGGCCCTGGGGTTTCCCTTCTTTACATCCGTGACCTTTAAAGACAAATTATTTTAGAGAAGAAAATAGAGGCTCTCGCCTAAAAATCTTAAATCAAGTTTACGTTTATGGAAACTTAAATTCAGTTTCTTTTTTCTGTATTAGATATAGAATGAGAAAAGGAAAAAGGGGAGGCGGTGACCTTCGGAAGAGGTTTCTGGGCTCCTGGCAAAGGAGGTGTCTGCTACCCTGCCTCCTGATTCGAAGGGAGTGAGGAGGACTGTGACGTGTCACAGCTGAGGAGCCGGTGCACAGGACCCGGGTGCCGGATCGTGAAGCCCCCTGACCCTCCGGGGGCTCAGCGGGCTCTCCTCCCCCGACTCCCTGCCAAGAAGCTCGTTTGCTAGAAGACAAAGCCACGAGATGGCAACGCTCCCCGAGCATCTGGGTGGAGGAGTGCCTGGCTGGCAGGCTGGAAGGGCCGGGGCAGGGGGCGCTGAGTGCCTGTCAAACAGCCACCGCGTCAGGGCCACCCGCCCGACCTCCTGCTTCTGATTGGCAACAGTGTCTGCGAGTATCTGCGCAGTGCTGCATTCTGAGTCTGAAACTAAAAGTGTGTCTTTATCAGTCACTCCAGATGAGGCTGGAAGATGGAGATTGCCGAGACCCTGCACAAGCTCATTTTCCTTATCGAGAGCTCTTTACAGAGCTGTTAGTGTCCCCGCAAGCTGATGGGCAGGTGGTATCATTCTGAAAGCAATTTTGTTCCCCACTGAAAAATCTCTCTGGACAATATGATTAGACTTGGGGAGGGAGGGATGTGCCTCATTTTAGCTCTTCTACTGTGTTCTACACTCAGAACACAGAATGACTTGATTTCCAGCTATGTTCCTGTCAAGGATTTTCTCAGTAATTTACAAATAATTTTCCCTTCTGCCTTTCTTCCCAGCTCTCAAAGGCACGGAACTGAAGTGTTTCCCTGTCTCTGCCCCTGTGCAGTGCTGCCTGCTGCTTCCTGATAGAGAGGTCCTCTTACAAAGCAGAGCTCGGCAACCTTGGGAGAGGGCCGCAGGCCTGGGAGGTCGAAACTTGCTAACACCCCCTTCAACCGAAACTTCATGAGATGAAGCTCCAGGGGGGGATTTTCCTTCTAGGAAAAGCTGTATTTTTCCAATAGTCACCTAATTTCATCTCTTGATTCTAGCTTAAAACTGACAAAAATAACTGGGGGATTATTGATGAAACTGGGCCAACCATTATTAGGAAGCACCGCTGGGCTGTAAGGGGGAGAAAGCAGAGGGGCTCCTGGCTGAGTCCTCAGGCGGCCCTGGCCCTGGGCCTCTGCCGGCGACCCCCTGCCCACCTGCCGCTGCGCGTGAAGACCCCCTTCCCCCGAGGGGCTAAGTACCACTTGAGGATGTGCCTCCAGCGTGGAGCGGCAGAGCTGCTCCAGCGCCTCTGCATCCTGCATCAGTTCAAGCTTCTTTTCTGCAACGATCTGTGCTGGGGTCTTGCCCTTACTCCTCCACAGTTCCTGAAACACCTGCGGGCAGAGAGGGGCGGGGTCAGCTCTTCTGCCAGCTCCACTTGCTGGGGTGGAAGAGCAGTCAGTGGATTCCCAGCTGCATGCAGACACACCCGGGGCCTCCCCGCGCTGAGCTGTGCCCTCAGAACAGAGCCCGAGACCCTGCCGGTGGAGACGCTGGCGGAGACGGGTCGTCCCCACTCGCCGACTCCAGGGGCACAGCAGGGAGGGCGGGGAGTGTGAGAAGATGATCACTCACAGGGCCCCTGCTGACGGGAGTGCCACAGAATTAACTAATTGTGGTGACATGCTGGTGAAGGATGGGGCCACACGGGCTGCAAAAGGGAACCACTGCTCTTAGAGGGGGTCATGAAAACTTGGCCTCTGCTGGGAAACGGGAGTTTTTTCAGGGAGGGGGAGAGGGAGGGGCCCATAATGAAGATACAGAATGGAAAATAACGAAAAACATAAATCACAATCCTTGGGGCCCAAGGCTTACCACATCCATCCCCACAGGTGGATGTGGCTCCGAACCTGGCTAGGATAATTAGCAGTTGACGGTGTGGGTATTTTTCTACTTAAAAAGATAACCAATTCCCAAACTTAATAAAGTTGGAAAAAAAGGAAGACATTTGTAAAGAAGGGGTGTCCCAGGGCAGTTTTCCACAGTGTCTGTTTCTCTAGTGTGAGCTGGAAGGGGAGGGGATCCCATTAGCCTCCATCTCAGCCAGCAGTCAGCACTGAGCACTTTCCAGCCAGGAGCCCCTCTGCCCAGAGCGGTGTGCCTTCAGCTTGGCTGTCGGGCGCCCACGGTGACTGTGGCCCAGAGGCGTCTCTGGGGCATCCTTCCGAAAGCGCACCTACAGGGCACACTCTGGCGATCACCACACAGCCCTGGCCGCGTACGCAGACCTGTCCCCGCTCTTAGAAAAATACTGAACATAAGTGCCTCCAACTCAATTCTTCAAATGTGTATTCAGCCGACAATGAGAAAGGCATTGAGGAGAGAGGGGCACACAGCGGGTAAGAACCTCCCCTGCTCTCAGCGGACGTACTGATGGCGTGCCCACAGCACAGGGACTGGAGAACAGACAATCTGTGATGCGGATAAGACTCAGCGTCTGAAGAGCTTCTCTGCCCCCTTTCCCTGATAGATTTATTTCTCTTGAATAAGACTTACAATTTTAAAACATTGTTCCTAATTATAAAATTTAATATGTGTTCACTGTAGAAAATAAGGAAGGAAATACAGAAAAGACAAAGAGAAATCTTACCCAATTCCCATCCCCTCAAGATGACCAATGTTAGTATTCTAGTATTTTCCCTTCCATGGTTTTCTTTCTGTTTTGTAACATCATTGTGATCACAGCACATATACAATTTGTAACCTGCTTCTGTTTCACTGATTACAGAAGTACTTTCTTGTATTAACAAAAAAATCCAATATTCATCATGATTTACTTAAATGACCCCCTACTAGTAGATTCTGACCAGTGTTTATTTCGTTCATCTGCAGAGTCTCCTAAAAAAGTTTCTAGTTGAAAATGTCCAACATTCAGGAAGAGAGAATGGAGATCTCAAGAGAGATCAGATCCCTAGCTTATAAGAGAAATCACCTGCAAGAGTGATTTATGAGAATCTACGCAGCAACTCTTTACAGGAAAGCCTGGCAGTTGTGGATGCTGCTTGCAGCCCAGGCCTGGGAGGAGCTGAACGCCTGGCGGTCACAGGCCCCTGCAGCCACTGTGGCTGAAAGTGCAGAGCTGAGCTGAGCTGGCCGCCCAGGGGTCAGCCTTTGCCTGGCACCCAGTACAGCTGGGACCCGACAGGCCCAAACACTGGTTGGATCTGCTTGGGCCACAATAACAAGAATAAAGGCAATTGAGGCAGTCAGGGACCAAGGCCAAACCACACCTTTCAGAAGGAAAAGCAGGACAATGCTGGGACGATGCTTTTACATGCAGAGAAGCTGGCTGCTCCCTGAGAGAGTGGGGAGGGGTACCAGGGAGTGGCCTAGGGAAGCACACCTCAGCAGCCTCCAGAGCAAATGCCCGGTGGCTGCAGGGTTCTCCCACTCCCGGAGTTAGAGCACATCAGCTTACTCACTTCCCAAGTTAGCGCCCCTGGGCTGACACAGTGGGTTCCAGAATCCAATCCTCTGCTTGTTCCTATTTAAGGCACAGATTGTGCCCTCCTGGCTGTAGCCCAGCAGGGCGGGAGCCACTAAACGGGGCCCGGCCGCCTCCAGGCCAGACTCTGCGGCCTCCCCTGGCCTCCTGGCTGCAGACATCGTGGCTCTGGGCTTGCCAACCTCGTGCTGTGGCATAAATCCTCAGCTTTTGTCTGTGTTTAATCACCACCCTGGGAAGTGCTATCGAAGTGCAATTGTTTCTGGCCAGGCGTGCACCTCCCAGGCCTGCTGCTGCTCACCCAAGACAGACCACATCACAAGGGGGTCCTGGTGCAGGGCCGGTCATCTGGGTTAATAAATGGCCACCAGGGTAGGGAGTACTGCAAGCTGGGGACCCCCGATCACACCCCGACCACCGAAGCAGCTCTGACGCATGGGGTGGAAACTCAGGTTTCAGTTCCTGGTGACTGAGCACACACCCTCCTAACTACTACCCAACCATTTCTCTAGCTAAAGCTATTTTTAAAGAATCTGGAGGGAAGGACAAAAGGAGAGCACACAGGCTCCTGGCCTGTCCCTGCCTGTTTGGGGCTTCCAGGGTCAGAGGGTGGCGGAAAGACCTGTTCCAGGGAGAGGGCAGGGAGGGAGCGGTGACAGACAGAGAGGGGGCCCCTCTGGGCAAAGGCAAGTATCGTGAAAGGTCATTCTTCTAGAAAGGCACAGACGTCAATCTAGGCCCTTAAGAGAAGCAGGGCACAGGAAAATGTGCAAAGAACTGACGCACTAAAAGGGAGAAAAAGACATCAAATCATTCGTAAGTTTTACTGCACGACGTAACATTTTCTATATTAAAAGGTTTTTGGTGATTTCTGATTAAAGTAGACCCCAAAGTAGACAGGAGGAAATTGCTTAAATGGCACACTCGCATGGTAAAATTCGACTTCCATCTCTGTGGAATCCCTGTCCAGCCTGGTCCCACAGGAAGCACTAGAGGGACAATCCCTGGGAGACGGTGGACCCTCTGCACCTACTCCAGGCTCGCACAGAGGAGACACGTAGGCATCTGGGGTGATTTCCCCCGGGGCCTGGCTGGCCAGCAGTCTGGACGACGCCCGGGGCCTCCGAGTCCCCAGAGGCTCAGGACCCTGGCATGCTAGCTGCAGGGGTGTTGTGATTCTGCAGGTGGGAGTCTGGTGTGCCCTGTCCTTGGCGAGGGGAGGAGACGGGGGCTACTTCATTAGACAGAACCGGATCCTGTGAGAGGAGCCTGGGTGCTTTTGTCTACAGTTACCAGGAGTTTGCTCATGGTGATAAATAATCTTTGAGTTTCTGTTTCTGAAAGACAAGGCTGCCTCATGGCAGCAACCTCTTAACTCCCCTGGGGCCCAGGGAGCTGAGGGGATGAGGTTTGTAAACCTCAGAAGCACTGTTGGGACACCTGGGGGAAGGTGCAGTGAAATGTGTCAGGGATGAAAATAATGGACAGTCATGGAAAGGAGAGCCGGATGGCAAGAGGTGGATTAATAATAAATTAGACGTAAAGTGGGAGACTCTTTGGAGTTCAGAACGTTCTCAGGGCAGGATGACTCTTTCTGCGTATCTGTCATCCTTAGGAGTCATTTTCTCAGTCAACTTTCTTTCTCATCTCCTGGTTATTCAGTCACTAGTAGAACCTCTTCCAGTTCTGTCAGAGGAAACACCAGTAACCAATGGAACCAGAGTCGTTCTGCCTCACAGGGTTTCTAAAACCTAAGGCCTATTTGGATTCCTCTGTCAAATTCAGTAAAAAATAATTATAACACATTTATGTGTTACATTTTACAGTAGACTCTGAAAATAAAAAAGACGCTCAATGTAATTAGTCATCAGGGAAATGCAAATCAATCCACCATGAGCTACTACTTTACACCTACTAGGATGACTATAATCAAAAAGCAGGACAATTACAAGGGCTGGCGGGGATGTGGAGAAACTGGAACCCTCACACACCTCTGACGGGACTGTAAAATGGTGCAGCCCATTTGGAAAACAGTCCGGCAGGTCCTCAAAATGTTAAACATACAACTACCACATGACCCAGAGATTCCATTCCTATAGGTACAGCCCCAAGAAATTTGAAAACATATGCGCCAACAAAACCCTGTACATATATGTTCACAGCAGCATTATTCATAAGAGCCAAAAACAGGAAACAACACAAGCGTCCACTTACTGATGAATGGTAGACAAAATGTGGTTCTACCCACACGATGGGATACTCTTTAGCCATAAAAAGGCATGAAGTACTGACACAACATAGATGGACTTTGAAAACATGACACTAGGTGAAAGAAGCCAGACACAAAAGGCTACATATCGTATGAGTCCATTTATCTTAAATGTCCAGACTAGGCCAATCCATAGAGACAGATAGTAGATTAGCAGCTGCCTAGGGTAAAAGGGGTTAATGGGGCGAAACTGCTAATTGGATGCAGGGTTATGTTTTTGCGGTGATGAAAATGTTCTGGAATTAGATAGTGGTGATGGTTACAACCTTGTGACTATACTAAAAACCAATGAACTGTAGGCTTCTTAAAAAATAAAACTAAAAAACAGTACACTAAAACCTCTTATTTTCAAAAGCCTTATTTTTCTAACCTCCTGTCTGCCCAGCCCACAATCCACCCTGGTAACTGTATGTGTGCACAGGAAGCTGCCTGGGATGATGCTCACCCAATATTTTTTTTTTTAATTTTTTAAATTTTTTGGCCACGCCGTGCAGCATGTGGAATCTTAGTTCCCCGAGCAGGGCTTGAACCCACACCCCCTGCAATGGAAGCGTGGAGTCTTAACCACTGGACGGCCAGGGAAGTCCCGTTCACCCAGTATTAATGGTAGTTATTTCAAGGTGGTAGAACTGGAAAATCTTTATATTTTTCAGCATTACTTAACTTGTTACAATGAACAAATACCATTTTTTTTCCACCAGAAAATCAGTGATTTTTTAAAAAAACAGAACAAGGTAGAACAATTAAAAAGCAAATCCCCTAAGGCAATGGTGTATAAGGGAGATGCCCTCATGGGACACACAATCAGACTTTTATTTTGGTTCTTACAGAAGCCAGGATTCACCCCACCTCCTTTAAACACGCTAGAAGCCAACAGAATCCAAAAATGTCTCTATCTCTATCTGAACCCAGCTGTCAGCATCCCCCGGCAGTTCTAGTCTCTCCCCTCTGAACCTAACATATTATCTGCACTAGGTTTTCTTTGCTGGGGCAGGAGTAGGAAGGGGAAGGTTTTTTTCCTCTTTGGTTTGAAATGCAACAATTCATTTGCTCTTATGTGTATATACAGTTTCTTTCTGCCCTCCAGCCATCTAATCATTCTGCTACTGCTGAGCACTCTCATAAACATTTGTATTCCTCTGACATCCAGGCAACCAAAACCCTTTCCTAAATGTGGAGCAGTCCCTATACTTGACAGCCTCACTTGGTGGTGGGTAAACAGAGCCTTTATTAGTTCCTATCCCCAGTTTCACAGCACAGAGCTGGGTGTATGCTCCATGGTGCCTCGTAATTAGCCAAAAGCAGCCGCTTTTCCAAAGCCTCACTATGTAACCTGCCACGACTGAGGACATGTATAAATATTAAATGCCAAAGGCACCATTAAAATAACATTAAGTTACCGGCTGAAGAACTGACAGCTGTGGTATCTCAAGTCGAGATCAGGCAGCCGCCTTGGTGTTCTTTATCTTTCTGGGTGCTCATTTGTAAGTGTTTTCTGAGTCCCAGGGACCTTGCGCCCACCCGAGACTGTCAGGTGGGGCTGGAGATGAGGCGGAAGGCCGCCTTTGATGAGGATGCTGTTTGTCTGGGTTTTCACACACTGCGCCTGTGTGTTAAATTTGATCTACTAAGTGGGAGGCAGTCTGTCTGGCCTCACCCTTCTTGCTGGAAGACTGACTTTCAGGGGCAACCACGTGACAAGACAAACGAGCCCCTGGTACTGGGTGGGAGGCTGCAGAGGACAGGAGAGGGAGGACAAGGGCCAGGGAGCAGTGTCGGCCACACAGGGCACGGGGGAAGCGCACAGGCCGAAGCCCCCAGGAGCTTCAGGGCCCACCTTTCACATAAACAAACGTTTGGGAAACATTCCGGGCAAAGCCAAACAACTACGCCGTCTGGTTAGCAAAGATGAGAAGCAAATTACCTGCGTCATACATAGTACTGGCTTTATTTCATTTGCTAAATAAAATGTTTCTACCTCTCAGTATAAAAATGGCCCTTAGAAGCACTTAATACTTCAAAGATGAAATGCACTTAGTGATGGCATTTGAGTTTCACATAAAACATGTACGGGGCTGGCAGGGTGGTCGGACCCTTTGGGAGGTGGGGACATACCTGTTTAGCTGCGGATGAAGAGATGGCTTTCCTGTCCAGCAGGTCAAGCAGCTCAGCCAGGGCAGAGGGTGTGACAGGACTAGCAGCCCCAAAAAGGAGAGAAGAAACATGTACATTTCACTCTGTCGGTGTATGCATTTATGGTTATTTAAAATCAAAGCACGTGATTTTGTAGGTTTGAATAATTAAATCCACACCCAGGAATAAAAGTAACAGGCCAGTTAGGCTCTATGTTATTTAGTTATTTTGTACTTTAGGATAGAACACATTTTTGTGACCAGTGTTGTTTTTCTTTATTTTACTACCCAACAATAACCGCAGTTTGGCAGAAGTTGTAGTGACAGACAACTGCTCAGTTTAATTAGTCAAAAAAAGGAGGTGGCTGCAGAATTCATGAACCATGACGAGAAGAGAAAAAAACCAAAACCCAGTAATTAAATATTTTCGATTGAAAGATCAGCCTAAAAATTACTTCAAACAAAACCGCTAACAAGGCCAGTTTTCGAGTGTTTTTGTGCAAATATAAATTCTTTTTAATCGTAAGAACTTGTCTTTTAGGGACGCAGTGACTACCAGCCATGTCGTCAGCCACCCTCATGGGCATCCACAAACTGCTCTCTCCCGCAGGCTCTCAACAGCTTCTCACAGAAGGGCCTGGAATTCATTATGCCTACACTTCTAGGAAGGGACTTATTTGCCAAGATCCCATGATATAAAAGGAGGAGAGGCAACCAAAGGCATAAAGTGTCATTAATTGACATTCTGGGGTGAGGGGGGCGGTGAGTGCCTAGGATTAGTGGAAAAGACTGAATTACAGACTATTTCTTTTAAAATACACAGTTTTGCTACTTTTAAACACATGCAGCAACTAGGCTAATGAAACGCTGTCTGTCTGAGGTCATGAGGGGACCAGTTTTAAATAGACTGGAACGACTTATAAATAGCACGTTAGTGTGTCTGTGTAAACGAAAGCTTCTGGAACGTTTAACACTACTTGAAAACACCTTCTGTTTAAGTCTCAGTTCCCATTACTCACTATTAATTTCTTTGTTAAGCTCTTAGATAGTAAAAACGAAACTACCGCTTAGTCCCTACGCCAATTTCCTGGAATTCCAGGCCAACCGAGTGCAAGTGCACCAGGTCTGACTCAGGTGCAGTGAAACCTCACAGGGCTGTTCACGTGAGGCAGCTGACACACAGAGGCGGCCCGCTGTCCTGCAAGTGTCTGCTTATCCCGAAGTATGGATAAAAGATCATTCCAAGAGGATATTAGGTTTGCAGAGTGTCTGGACCACCCTGATTAAATCTCAGCAGGATGAGGGTCAGAGGGCTGGGAAATCAAGACACCCTTTCTCTAACTTCCCACCCTACTGACAAGTAACAAAGAATCCACGTTGTTTTAAAAATTCGGGTTTCTTGGATGTTCTACGATCCTAGTAAACATAAAGGCCAATTAGAGTGTAGACTGTGTAGAACCTGTAATAAGCACTGAGGTTGAACTAGATTTCTCAAGCCTGCAAACAAAAGGGTCCCCACTCCCACATGAGCTGATGATAAAGGGATGTGAAGACAGAGAAGGACAGAAATAGAGTACAGCATGACTAAAAATACTTTGCCTTTCATCCAATGACCTTCATTCACTATGAAATACCTCCACTGACTTGGGATTTCTCAATCGCCCTTTTGTACCCACTGTGCTCGACACATAGTAGGTCAGCAGTATCTGTGTCACAGACTCCTTCCCCCCAACAGGGATGGCTGGGACACTGTGTCTACTAATTCCAGCTGTGCCAGGGCTCACCTCCAGTAGACGATGACAAAGATCAGGACCTGTCACCCTGGCCTTGAAAGGCCCCCCTCATCAGGTTAAATAAACAAATCGGCCGATTTGGAACAGAACGGCAGCAGAAGCACAATTGGCTGCTGTCAGATCACGCTGGTTTCTGGGCCGTGGGTGTGTCTCCACTAAAGAAGAGCCCGACGTGGAAGGCTAGTCTCCCATCCCCAGCCCGGCGCATCTGCAGACGAAGGGAAATGGCATTTCTCAAGCCTTCCAACTTCACCCAGTCCCCTAGAGCTCTTATGGGATCACGACTCTATCTCCAGCCTGGATTCTGGAAGCAGACACCCTGACACCTCCACAGCCACCCCCGTTCCTGTGAAATGTGCCGCCTGTCGCAACCCCTGAGCTCATTTTAGGCCCAAGCTCATGGGACCCAGAGGCTCGCGGAGAAAGACAGGGAGACACGGACACCTAGGTGGCTGCTCAGCAATCCTGCTGTTCATCTCGCTAACGTCCCAGCGCCCCTGCCTGGCACTCCCACCCAAGCTGCTGTTCTAGAGCGTCTCCTTCCCACGCCCCATCTCAGCACGGACCCTCACCTCCCGCATCATAAGGTCACCCGCTGATGGAAGGCTCAGAATTTTCTGGGGTGCCCGCCTCCTCCTCTTCCATCAGACAGCCCCCTGGACCCATGCTCTTGCCTGCATCACCTGCCACTGCTACGCATCCTACTCGGACGCCGGGTTCCTCCCTCCTGCGGCTTTAACCCCACACCTTCACGAGCGCTCGGATCTGCCCTGTCTTGACAGTGCCTCCAAGTGATCTTGCAGTCACTTGCTTCTGCCTGACCTTATTATTATTTTTTGCCAATGAAGAGCATCAGTGGCTACTGTCTGCCCTTGCTGTTTGGATCCCAACCCTATCCCTCTGCAGATGCTGTTCTTTTAAAATCACCTCCCCTCACTAATTACCAAACATAATAGCTTCCCACCCTGCTGCACCCCCTGAGAAAACGCCTTCTCCCTGGGCCTCCCAGTCTCTTTCCCCTCCTTGACTGCCCTCCTCAACCTCTTCCCGCTGGCGAGGAGTGGCCCGGGCTCCTGTCTCCCCACACATGTTCTAAGCCAGGGGTCGGCAAACTTCTGGAAAGCGCCAGAGAGCAAATATTTAAGGCTCCGTGGGACACACCTGGTCTCGGTCATGTAGTCTTCTTTGCTTTGGTTTCTAAATACACGAGGTAATAATCATCCTTAGCTCACGGGCTGTATACAAACAGGCCTGCGGCTGTGACCTCTAGCAGGCTCCCACCTCCTACATCCCATTCTTAGACGCTGCCCCGCATATCACGCTGCCGGACTAATCCTCCTGTCAGCCTCAGCCCCTTCTCAGCTCAGAGCCCTTCCCTGGTTTCCTAGCACCTCAGGAGCTGCTGCCCGCAGCTGACCCGGAAGTTCAGGCCCTCGGCTGGAGTGAACAACTGGACAGCTGCACCTGCCTGATATTACCAGGAAATATTTGGTCAGGGAATCAGTAACTTCCACTTTCCTAACTAAATCAAACCTGGTATGAATAGCTATGAGTTATTAACCAAAAAAGCAATATGCTCAAAATAATGAAAAAGCCAAGTTCAACAAGCACTTTTCTGGCCAGATCCTTTAAACACCAGTCTTCTGAGAGGTCTTTAAAGATGAACGCTCACTTGCAAAATCACTTCCTGCCAACGTGATCTCTGGAGTGTCCCTTGCCTGGTGTCATCATGAGACTACTGCTAGCTTTGCAGCTACTGCCCTTCTAGGCTTTGGAAACGTTAGCCCAGCTGCCGAGGTTGCTCACTGGTTAATGTTTGCTCCAAGGTGAGGCTGGTATATGCAGCCCAGGCAATGGTTGTCTGAACTGTGAGACAGGTTGCAGACTGTGAGAGCTGCTACACAGAGCCTTCTTCCTGTTCAGTTCCTGTTCTACATAAACTCTAGCACAGAACTGTTGCTTAGCTTCCTCCTTACTTGACTTTGGAACAACCAAGCACACTTTTATTTAGAGTTTGGTGCCCTTGGAGTTCTTTTTTCTTTTTCTGATAAAGTTATTCATTTTATTTATTTATTTTTGGCTGTGTTGGGTCTTAGTTGCTGCGCACGGGCTTTCTCTAGTTGCGGCGAGCAGGGGCTACTCTTCGTTGTGGTGCGTGGGTTTCTCATTGCGGTGGCTTCTCTTGTTGCGGAGCACAGGCTCTAGGCACACGGGCTTCAGTAGTCGTGGCTCGCAGGCTCTAGAGCGCAGGCTCAGTAGTTGTGACACACGGGCTTAGTTGCTCCGCGGCATGTGGGATCTTCCCGGACCTGGGCTCGAACCCGTGTCCCTTGCATTGGCAGGTGGATTCTTAACCACTGTGCTACAAGGTGAAGCCCCCCTTGGAGTTCTTAAGACTCTAGTGCTTACGAATTGTTTGGATAAATACCAGAGGCTCCAAGTTCCCTTGACAGTCTAATTTATCAATCTCAGCTCCTGTAGAAGCTCCTAAAATGGTTGTTAGCAAACCCCTCATGTCACAGATCAACATATAGAGAAACTGGTCTGGAAGTCAGGGGGCTGGCTTCCGGTTTGAGCAGTTGTGCACCTTACCTCTAGGGGCCTGGATTTCCTCCTCTGCTAAATGAAAGAGCTGAACCAGAGGTAGCTCAGGTCTCTGCTGAGACTGAAATTCAGTGACTCTAGCAATCAGTCAGCAACATGGAAAACACATTTTAAAGCTAAGAGTTAGATCTCCTCCCAAAGCTCCAACCACTCCTTCCCGGAGCCTTTCAGGTGAATGTGGTCTCGTCCCTCTCTACTTGCACCGCACTGTGACTAGTTCTAAACAAGAAGCACTCCATTCTGCCTTGAGGTAAAAGCGTTAGTGCACAAGTCCAGTCCTCCCCAGGACACAGAGCTTCTTAAGGGCCGGGCCAGCGTCCTGCTTGGCTCTCCACGAGCTCCGCACAGAGGGTGCTCTACAGCCAGTGCCGGATTCACGGCTCAACTCCCGCGACTTTCCACACCCTCCATGTTCCGGCTCGACCCCAATCATATGGTCAACTGTACTTTTCTGCCATTTTCCACCCTCTGCTCCTCCCAGCTATGCTCCCCCTGCTCCCCAAAGCTGCTGCTTCTTTGCCATCCCCACGCCCTGGTTCCCCACAGATGTCGCCCGGCCCCTCCTTCACGAAGACCTCTCCAGAGCCATTCAGGCTCTGGTACAGCTATACCTCCTCCATCAACTCTGCCTGAATGGGCCCGGGCTTTTCAGTGTGAAGACTGAAGTTTCTGAGTAGAGAGGTCAAACCGGAGAGGACAAGAAGGAAAGAAACAGGCAACAGATGCCATGGGAGTTTGGGGATCGGGGCGGGGAGGGGGGGGACATCGTTTTGGTACCTCACATACCATCACGGAATAGAGAAGGAAATGGACACTAAGGGCCCACGGGCGCCGTGTGTTTTCCTCTCAAAAGCCCTCGGAGGCAGGCACTATCACTGTCATTTACAGTGACGGCACTGAGGGTGACTCATCCAAGGTCACAGCTGTAAGAAGCCATGTGAGGAGGTGAAACAGAGCCACATGGCCACGCTGGTACCTGTGCAAACACACTGCGAGCAAGAGGCCGAACATGAAGCCAGCATCACACAGGGGTAACTTCTCTGAACAGACGACTCTTTGGACTCACGTATCAGTCAGCACATGCCTGTCTCCCCGGCTCTGCTTCCCCATATGGCCGTGGGCGCTGCTGCAGCAACGACGCTCCCCAAGAAGAGCTCGGCCTCCCGCGGGGCGCCACCTGCCTGTGTGTCCCTGATGAACAACCACATTTAAACCTGCTGCCCGTTCTCTCCTTCCTCACACTCTCCTTTTCTCTGGCTCCTGTGACACCCATGGTCCTGGTTCTGTCCCTCCTTCCCTGCCCATGCTCCTTGGGTAGTCCAGGGAGTCTCAGGCCCGGTCACACGGTATCCTCCCCACAGCTCTCACCTGCTCCAATGGCTTCCAGTACCATCTACACATTGCTGAGTCCACGATCTGCTTATACTGGGCCGTGCCCTGCCTTCCCCGAGATGCCACGCTCGGGCTCCCCTCGAGCCACGTGCACACGCTGCTCTCCATGCCTGGAGCGTGTGCTGGACTTGGCCTGCTGGGCCCCGTTCACCCTTCACTCAGCAGGGAGCTCAGCTCTTCTCTCCCCCTTCTCAGGGCACCCAACTCGCTGCTTTGTAAGGACCACGGGGACCGCGTCTGCCTCGTGGACCGGCTTTCCCCACGCTCAGCAGAGAACTTAGCATAGGGCAGAGTCTCAATTAACAGGTGCTGAGTTTTGAACAAGTGAGAACTCTCGGATTTACACTCCCAGATGCCTCCCAGCAGATGTAGGCCCATGTATCTGACTGCCTATCAGTCACCCCACAAGGGGGACATCTGTCCCACAGGCAACTCAAACACTGCATGTCCTAAAGGAACATGGCATCCTCCCCACCTGTCCCTCTTTCTTTACCTCCCACCAGGTTGAAAGGCTCCACTCCATCTCGCCCCAAGCCCGCGTGAGGGAGGCGGAGTCATGTGGAGTTGAGAACACTGTCTGCACCGTGGTCCACCACACTCGGGCCCAGGCACAGGGCATTTCGCACGGGCGCTCCTATAAGAGGTACCCAACTGGGCTTCCCACCTCGGCTCCACCTTCCATCCCATCCCCCCAGAGGGGACCTGGAGTGAGCGTGTGCTCTCAGGCCTTTGACAGCTGCCGACAAAGGCGTGTGAAGCCTCCCAGGTGGCTTTGCCCATCCCTGCAGCTCCCCTGCTCCCTCCCGAGCACCCTGGAGCTTCTGGGCCTCCTGAGCCCACCACGCCTCTTGTCTCTGAGTGTCGCACAATTGCATCTACGGTCCAGAATGCTCAGAACCCTCCCTCTACTTGGCAACTCCTCAGGGCTTGGTCTCTGAGGGAAACTCACTCTCCCTCCTGAGGGAAAGCTTGGTGGACGCCCCAGCCTCGGTGCAGGTCCCCTTCCTGTGCATTCATGGTGGCCTGAACACACCTGTGGTGTAACGGGATCATACTGAGCCAACTGTCTGCTTTCTTACAGCCTGGATGCCCTGCAGGTAGGACACTCCTCATTTACTCATCTGTAGGTCCCCAGCCCAGCACAGTACAAAGGACAGCGTGGACGGTCAGAGATCGGAATAAATGAGCTTTCAGATGTGAAGGGGATGGCGGACAGCTTTAGACTCTGACATTCAAAGGGGATGTCTGTGTCTCGTCAGGAGATCCTGAGGGGGAAGAAGGAGGGCAGAACACCAGCCCTGCCCTGTGTCAACTGCTTCTGGACACAGAGTTCACCAGAAAGGAAAATGCGCCCCCAGACCCCACTCACCTCTCACTGACGGCAAGGTTCTGTTGCTTTAAAAAGCCCAGAAAAGTGTTGAGGACCCAACTAGTCACTTTTTTTGGCTCTGCCCTAGTTTCTTTTATCACATTTTGGAAGAACTCCAGTAGGCCAACTTCATTCTGTAAAGAAAAAGAAAATGATATAAAGCCTCCAAAAAATGAAAGATCAGTATTCTGAAACTGTCACCCTCTGCGTCCCTGAGACATCTACTGGTACTTCCCCAAACGAGGATGTCACCAGAAAATTCTGATCCCTTTCAGTAAACAGCAAGTATTCTACTACTTCTACTACTGTCACCATGCATTTATACAGCATTCTGTCAAAGGAAGGAACATACTGCAGACAGCCTGGACTTTGTGGACCAGAGGACGATGAAACCTGACATCCCCTAAACTCATTCGCCCTCTCAGTGTCAGCCATGGGTACCCTACCCTACAACGTTTATCCCTGAGCAGCATGTCTAGCCTGAGTTTACCATCCTGTCTCTTTCCACGCCTGTCTTCTCCTGTAAGTCCTAGCAATGGCTAGAAAAAGAAGGTAAGAAAAGCAGCAGACCAAGAAGGAACAAACAGAATATTCTACTTCTGAAAAATCAAACGTGGATCGTAACTGCGCTCATCTTCGCATCACCCCAGAGCGGACAGAAGTGGTTTTCACATGTTTGCAAAATGAGTAAGAACACAGGCACGTGACCCACTTAGACCACGTGATGGGTGGAGGGTAGCGCCAGGCCTCTGAGCCTAGAGAGGCCCAGCTGATCCTGCCTCTCATTGCACTCTGTGAAAACAATCACCTGGGTTGGCTCATCAAGGAGACGTGCTTGAAGAAGCCCCTACTCTTCCCCCCCCTCTGGACCGCCAACTCTGTGAGTCAGGGGCCACGCTGCCCGTTCTCTCTGTGACTAGAGCTACGTCAGTGCTGGGTCATGGCAGCTGCCTGGTTAGCATCGATGGGTGAATCAACGTCTCCCATCGCCTTGTGTTTTCTTAAAAAAAATCACATGTGAATGCTCACCCTTTATCATACCATGTTCACCTTTAAATATTGGAATTGCCACAATTATGCCTAAGAGTAATCCCCAAGGCACTCATTGAATTATACAGTGCATTGCCTGCTCAGATGGATTTGGCAAAACCAAGAAATTTGGCTAAGCCCACCCCTTGTTTTTCAATGAAGAAAATAAAAACATGTTCCACCCACGTCTGAGAGGCTGAAGTTTCCAAATGCATTTTAAATAGTAGGTTTCCCCTACCTGCTGAAATTCAAATCAAACCACACTTTCCTTAAAATATTCCTTTTTAACTTTATACTGGAGGTAAGGCTCTCACCCTCGCCCCTTTCAGAGAACCTTCATTAACCAAAAGAACATTCTGGAAAAATACAATACTGCGAAGAAGTGAGACACACTAACAAAAGTGCTCTCAATGTTTCATAATCGTAGATGCTGTAATAAACACACAGGCACACAGCTGCTAAAATAGAAATTCCGTAAAAAAACGAAAACAATAACAAACTACGTGCCCTTTATAACAGTTGCATTCTCTGGTGACAAGCCTACTGAATCATCCCATAATCATCTCCTGAATCTCTTTTCAAGCTGATGGTATTATTCTGCTCATGCTAAACCTGGGCAAAGGCCACCTCAGCAGCCAAAGCTTGACTACAGATAAAGGCAAATTCAGGCAGCATGAAGAGAAAGTTCTGTTTAACTTATGGAAAAGTATTCAAACTTCCACAATGGCACACAAACCACTGCAGAGGGAGAAAACCGGCTACCGGCCCAAATCACATAAGTGGGATTCCCTTTGTTCTAACCCAGAGAGGCTGGCCTGCTGGTGAAAAGAGCTGTCAGGAGGACTCTGCTTTGCCGAGGAAAGGTTTTCTAAATCCACCTAGAAATACTGAACTCACAGGCCTGGCTGAGTTGCTGGGACGTGATGAATATCTATTCCTCTGCCCTTGGGTGGTTGTTTTGTTGGATGGATAACATGGTAAGTCAGATTTCTGTTTGTCTTTTCGTGTCAGTGCTGTGAGGCAGCCTCTCTGAGCTGGAGCTGTGCTTCACTGGGGAATATGTGGGTTCAGTACACAATCTGCAGTGGATGGGAAAGTCTGCGATCGTGACAGGGCGAGTTGTGGGCAGCAGGGCTGCAGGAGGCCGAGCTGCCCCCGCCTGGAGAATGACAGATGGATGCAAAGTCACACATGGGCTGCCCGCTCGGGCTGTTTACATCAGAAGCCCGCTTACCAAGAAAAAAACACACAGCATTCTAGGTAAGGCCTTCTTCGTTTTTCTGTGAGATTGGCAAATGCTTGGCCCAGATCTCAGGAGTCCCTGTGAATATGGCCGCGCAGCCATCTGGTTTTCTCGGGAAAACAATGGACCAGTTAATTCCCTTACATGAAAACCATATTATGAGCAACGCAGGGGAATTCCCAGGCAGTCCAGTGGTTAGGACTCTGCACTTTCACTGCCAAGGGCACGGGTTCAATCCCTAGTCGAGGAACTAAGATCCCACAAGCCGCGTGGTGCAGCCAAAAAAAAAAAAGAGCAACGCAGAAAGGCCACTGCATTAGGGAACCCTTAACGTCCTTCTCAGAGGCAACAAGCCAGCACTAATCTATCCCACATCAGGCAGAGCTGAACCTTCAGCTACACAGGGTGTCAAGTCTCCCGGCCAACTACGTCTCAAACTTTTCCTTCAAGAGATAGCCCGGGGCTTCCCTTGTGGCACAGTGGTTGAGAGTCCACCTGCCGATGCAGGGGACGCGGGTTCGTGCCCCGGTCCGGGAAGATCCCACATGCCGCGGAGCAGCTGGGCCCGTGAGCCATGGCCGTTGAGCCTGTGCGTCCGGAGCCTGTGCTCCGCAACGGGAGAGGCCACAACAGTGAGAGGCCCGCAAAAAAAAAAAAAAAAAAAAGAGAGGTAGCCCAAGTGGCATGGACAATTGGTCCTGGCTTTTGTGTAACACCAGACACTCTTTACAGCTCTGCGACTAACTGGGAAGCATCCTTTTCACATTTTAATCAAATTTCCCAAAGCATCCCATGACACCCAAAGCCAATGCCAAGCCAGCCTCTTGGATGCAGACACGAACCCTCCACTGCCAGTGGGTCTGTCCGCTGGTCACTGCTGGGGTGAGGCAAGGCAGAGGGGTCACCTTCCCTTCCCTGCTGCTTTGGGAAGGAACCTGACCCACTCTTGCATCGGGCCCTAAAGCCAGGTGCCCCGCAGCCAACTTTTCCAGCCTACCTTCAGAGATGACCAAATGCCAGAAGACTATCTTGCTGCAAGAGGAGGAAGGCTGATTTCTCAACTGCCATTCCTGTCCTAAGTCACACACCCTGGGAATCTGAAGATAGGCAGGATGAGGCTGGACTATATTTAGAAGGCGAATGAAACCCGATAGAGACAGCTGCCCGGTGGCAGACTCGGAGAAGAAAAAGGCCACAGAGCACACATTATGGGACAGCTGGTTATGTGGCAGGGAGTGACCCATCAGCTACGGGGACCCTGGCTTTATTGCCTGAATACCTGCTACACGGGGATCAGCGGGCAGCCCTGCGGGGGGGAGGGTGGGGAAGGCACGTGGCTACTGCTGCTCTTAATGATGTTAATAGTAGTTTCAACAGCAACAATAATGGGTGCTTTCTGTACATTAACTCATCCAGTGCCAACAACGACTCTGTGGGCGAGGTACTAGTGGAATTCTCTTTTACAGGTGGGGACGCTCTGAGCACTGACTTGCTTGAGGTCCCACGGTGAGAAAACAGTACAGCTGGGACTCTGCAGCCTGTGCTCTCACCCTCTGGGTTCCGCTGCCGCTGACAAAGGACAGTCACATCCCCGCCTTCCTGGGGATTGAAACTGAGCACCCGCCAGGGCTGGGCACAACACGAGGCAACTTGCCCATCCAAAGAATGCACTTCCCCACCACTTGCATTATTTTGAGAGCTGCCAGCTGTTGAAAGGTTCTTAACATATTAAAAATGTAGCAAAGGCCCTCAGCAATTAGCTTAGAAATCAGGAGGAGAAAATGGTGAGTTCAGGTGCTGCCATTGCCAAGCTACACCTAGACCACGTGGCGCTCTCCGCTGTGGCTGACACACGCCAGTTCCCAGGTCGGGGGGTGGGGAGAGGAACGGTGGCACCCCCATACAGGGCTTCCGGGGGGACAGGAGGGTGGCCGGAACACCCCCGGAGCCTCTCTCCCGTGTCCCTCCACACCCCTCCCCAGAGAAGTCAGGGAGCACACCTGCATGGGTGCTGCCTGATTCTGCAGCATCCCTGACACTGAAAAACAAACCCTGTTGTCACTCACATAGTTTCGGCATCAAGCACATGGTATTTCATCGCACTCTGGCTCCTCCGATGCGGGTGGCTCACGCACGAGGTTATACCTAACTGGGCAGGTCGTGCTGTGGGGGGGAGTGGCTGACAGCTCGGGGGACCCCGTACCTGCAACTGAGTGACAACAGCTCCGCCCGGGCTGCACTCACAGGAACCAGGAGGAGTCGCCCTAAGAAGGGAGGTACCCACAGGGGCCGCGCCACGGGAAGAGGGCCCGGCATCTGCACGTCAACGGGAGCTCTGTGCTTCCACATCACTCCTGTGAGTCTAATTCTTCTTACAAGGTGAGAAAAAAAAAGAACTCGGACCCAACAACTTTGTGAAACATGGCCCTGAAGATAACATCACTGCTAGTGTTGGGGTGGAAATGGAAATTAGGTGATAGGAGGCCCCTATGAGGGACGGCCATGGGAGGGACTGGGACTTGCAGTGGGGCGGGAGGGGGGGTCTATGCTGTGAACGGAGCCTCCCTCTGCTTTTCACGGAAACCAGGAGGGGCTGTGGAAATCCTTCAGTGAGAGAGAAGGGAAAAAAAAAAAAGACTCATCCAGAGGATTCATCAGTGGGGAAAACAAAAGGTAGTTAATTGGTGGTGAGAGGCTGGCACAGAAAACATCACTCTCCACCGAGTGTGTGGAGGAAGCTGGAATCCTGAACCATCAGTGCCACTTTCAAGCAGCTCTGAAACTGACTCAAAACACCAAGGGTATGCTCTTTAGTCTGACTCAAGGAATACATGATTAGATGGGTCTACAGTCCTATTCTGG